AAAAAACCCAATCTTCTATTCCCAAATATCTCTTTAAAGAAGAAATGCACCTTTCTAATTAAAAGCTCTGGACGCTTTTTGAAAAGCTTCTTTTTATTCAGTGTTTTGAGCACAACATTGCAAATCTCTCAAAGGTGATAGAGTTGCATCTGACCCACTTTCTATCACTCTGTGCTAATTCTCTTTTATGACTGCTGTGGAATTATTAGTAAAATTAAGGTTTTACATCTGAAAATTAAGGTTTATATGAAAAAGATAGCAGTGTTCACCCATTGAGGAAAAGCATGAAATCAAAAGGAGCTCTGAGGATGGGACCCAGCTGCAGCAGGCATGCGAGGAATCCACTAACACAGCAACTCCCTGCAATGTACCATAGAGGACAGAACAGAGTGGAGACTCCGTGGCCCTGCTCCTTGATGATAAAGCGGGAAGAAATTTCAAATCATGTTAAAATATCTTCAAGAGGTGCTTCCTAATGCAGGGGGGCTCAATGCCAGCAAAAAGACTCAAAAGCCAAGACAGGACTCCAGTGGCACAGAAGGTCACCACCCTGTCCCCAGAGGGCAGAATGCAACAAGCCAGAGGCTGAATAAAACACTATTCTAGTAGTCTCCAGCTCAGGCAATGCTTTTTCTAAAAACCTTTCTGAAGTCTAACTAACTACCAGCAGTTGTGAGCATGATCTCAAAGTTTTTTTAAAGCGTCTTCTCTGCATTGAGTCAGTTGGAAAACTCTGCTACTTCTGAAGGCAAAAATGTATAAATTATTTTATTGCCAAGTTATAAACTAATGAGTATATTATCTCTGAAAAGCAAACAGCATTCCTAAAGAGGATGGGAAAAATTCTGATCTGACAGACAGCACTTAAAACTACAGTAAAACAGCTGAAATCAGTGTAGTAGGCTCTGTTTCACACCAACACAAATGAGACCCAAATGAACAGCAGTGACATTTGGTTTGCCTTTTTAGTAAATCTTTTGTTCTCGTTATACTGCACACAAGCAGTCACTGAAATGCACTTTTTTTTAACCCTCAAAGAAATTAATTTTTAATACTGATCTACCTAACAGCATATACTAAATATTTCAGCGTTATGCTTATCAGAATTCCACTGGAAAAGATGGTATGGTGAAATACACACACTAAGCCATGCAAATGGCTGTATTAAAATAACGGATCAAATCTGGGGACTTGTTATATCTGTTTTCTGCTTTTAAATGGCACTCACTGGCATTTTCAGTTTCCTAACTGGAAACATTTATTTTAAAAAAGGGAAACTTCACAAAGAGATTAATTGAGGTCTCCTGAAACGTAACTGGAAACGTGAAAAACTGCACTGAGGTTTAAAGAAAGTCATAGATAATTTGCTTGACTTACCCTGAAGTGCATGAAATAAAATACTATAGCTTCTATTGTTCAAGACAAATGTACAGACTTTGGCTGTACACTTGAATATACAGTTTCCAAAATCAGCCTTCTGGAATTCTAAATTTGGTCCACAGCAAGAATTTATACTAGTTTACCAGTATATTGCTTCCCCTCAGAAACAGGAAATTTTGGTGCCTTTCTCTAGTGCCAATCATTATATCTGCTTTTATTTTAAACCACTATGCTGTGTGAATCCAACCAAATGGCACAAGGGACCCAAAATAAAAATGTGTTCATTTACACTCTGCCTGGTTTCTGTTCTCACTTTTTCTTTCTAGTCACTTCCCATAGTGCGACGCTTCTTGCCTGTGAAATCCACTGCTGTAGCATCACAGAAAAAAATCTTACATTGAGTTATAAAAGTTGCCATCCCTGGCGAAAGCCTAAGAGTAAACATACCGCTTATAATTAGGATTCTGACAGGTCTCTGCAAGAAGCAGAGTCTGGAACCAGATGCAAGCACAAAGCAAGCTTTTGCCCCCTCAGGTAACATCACAGGGAAACCCAGAGTAACCCACTTATCTTACAAGCAGCAACACTCGCAAGCTAAAGAGCTACTAACAAAAACACAGAATGACACTAAATATAAAAGATTCATTTCAGCAATGCCAGAAGGGAGAAAAAAATTGAAAATAGAATATTGTAAAAGCAAAAGTAAATTGTAAAATAAATATTTCAAGATTTAAACTAATAATGGAAAAGCCTATAAATCATCTTTACAATCGCTCCCTTTCCTACCATAGATTCATCCTCTCTAAATGGATGCCTATTACCCAGTATAAATCATGGGATAAAGAGGACTGTAGGAATCTAATTTACTACTACAGGGAAGAGACACCAGAGAAAGGGTTAGAGGAGTAGCAGAAAATCCTGGAGAGAGGTGAATTTTTCCAGTAGACTAAGTATCACTCTGCACAGTGTAATTTTGTATAGAATGGCATGAAACGCCAAGTGAGGACAGCCAAACCAAAGGTTACCTTCCTCTCAATTTCTGTCCTCCTGTTCTGGGCCAGGAACCTAAGGATTTAAGGCACTGGAGGGTAAGAAAGGCAAGCCTGAATAAAAGGCACAGCCAACTATAAAAAAATATGATACTCTACAGTACCAATACTGGTACTAACATAAAATGTGGCTGAACAGGTCTTCCTGAAAGATTATGTGGTTCCTGTGATTTCTTACCTATTTCAGACAAGGAATAATGGAAAAGAATAATGCAAAAGAATAATTTTGACAAGCTATACAGCACAGTGCAAAGTGTATTTGTTAGTGAGCTCATCACAGTGATGACAGACTGTCAGAACACTGAAGTTACTGACATTGCTCTGCAATGCACACACTGGAACAACTGCCTTTAAATTCTAGAAAATCAGACTCAAACTCTCGAAACCTCTTTTCAGCCAGATTCTTCTTCTACAGCTGCCTTGTGCCCAGTAGCCATATGGAGCTACAGAAGCCATTCAGATTCATTGAGCTCCTGGCATCACATTAACTGTGCCTGTCTGAAAGATGCAGGAATGAATTTCTACAAACACATTCCAGAGCCCAAGTCCACCAATCAAAGTTGTATTTCAGTTGGGTTTTTTTTTCCATCACAGAATCACAGAATGGTAGGGGTTGGAAGGGACCTCTGTGGGTCATCTAGTCCAATCCCCCTGCTAAAGCAGGGTCACCTAGAACAGGCTGCACAGGACCTTGTCCAGGCGGGTCATTCCTTCTCTTCAATTCTGTGCAATGGAGAAACAGA